TAGTATTCAGAAACTCCTAAAGGAATTTCTCCTCGATTGCAATGTTCAACTAATATCTTAACCTCAAAGAGTAAGACAAGGGTTTTATTTGGGTAACTAATAAACAACCTTATATACAACAACAACAACAACTACTCAGTATAGTCCCACAAGGTGGGGTCTGGGGAGGGTAATACGTACACAGGCCTTATCCCTACCCGAAAGGGCAGAGAGGCTGTTTCCAATCGACCCTCGGCTCAGGAAAAGGAAAAGGAAAACAAAAACAAAAAACAAAAAGCAAAAGAGCATTAGTAACTCCAGCAGAGATCACATAAATAATTATCTAAACATAAACCATAAATAAAATGGCATGCAAATATATCGACCAGTAACTACCATAAGGGGGCACAATACAATACACAGATCTATCTATGGAGAGCCCTACCAACCCCCCCCCCCAGCCCCGGGACAGAAGTACGAAAAATTCTAGAAGCCCCTATCCTGCAACCCTGATACTAGACCTCCAGACTTTCCTATCAAGGGCCATGTCCTCGGAAATCCGCATTCTAGCCATGTCCTGCCTAATCGCCTCTCCCCAATACCTCTTGGACCTCCCTCTGCCTCGACTCGCGCCAACCACCGCCAGCCGCTCATAACTCCTCACCGGGGCATCGGGGCTTCTCCTCCGCACATGCCCGTACCACCTGAGCCTCGCTTCCCGCATCTTCTCATCTACTGGGGCCACCCCCACCTTCTCCCGAATAACTTCATTCCTAATCCTATCTAACCTGGTGAGCCCGCACATCCACCTGAGCATCCTCATCTCCGCAACCTTCATTCTCTGGACATTGGAGTTCTTCACCGGCCAGCACTCAGCCCCATACAACATGGCAGGTCTAACCACAGCTCTATAAAACTTCCCCAGTATAAATATTCTCCAATTGACAAAATGGTTATCTGACATCTGCTACAACTAGAAGTCGTTTCCTTATGAAACGTATATAATGTTCTTATAAGACTGTATATTTACTTGCAAATTGCAATCCTCACTGAGTATTGTTATTTCCTCAAAGATGGTACAATTTGACAGTCAAGAAACAATAATCCAAGTCGCAATGTTCGAATCTCAATAGTCATGTACTCAACTACTCATCTCTCACGGTTACTGTTGTCCAGTTAAATCTTCCCTGCTCCTTGTTAAGTGTTATGTTAAAAGAATAAAAAAATACTGCGATATTTTCTTTCTTTCTTTCTCTTACTAAAAATATAATGTAAACTATAGGGCTTTTTTCACTTTAGCCCACGCAAGAAACTATTGACATTCGATTGCCGAAAAAGTTTATAAAATTTGTATATATATATATATATATATATATATATATATATATATGTTAT